ATGTCGAGGTTGTTAAATGTTAAACTTAGTTTAGTTTAACATTACACTTGCTAACATTACATGATGTCCACGTTGGTAAGTCTTAAACTTAGTTTAGTTTAACTTTACACTTGGTAACAATACGTGATGTCGACGTTGGTAAATGTTACATGAATTAACTCATTTTATCCGTAATTTATTTTACAGCGGTAACGTTAATTAGCTAGCTAGCAAGCAGCTAGCATACCACCATGTTATTAGCTGACTAGCTAGCATACCATGCGTCCCGGCCCGCATGGTGGTTCTAATTCAACTTCAAGTTTTATTTTTCCGTGCTATATATTTTGCCATTTCTCTGCAAACGTACTTGGTAACATTATTTGATGTCGACATTGGTAAATGTTAAACTTATTTTAGTTTAACGTTACACTTGCTAACATTACGTGATGTCCATGTTGGTAAGTCTTAAACTTAGTTTAGTTTAACTATACACTTGGACTTGGTAACAATATGTGATGTCGACGTTGGTAAATCGTTACATAAATTAACTCATTTTATCCGTGACTTATTTTACAGTGGTAACGTTAATTAGCTAGTTATTAGCTAGCTAGCAAGCTAGCATACCACCATGCGGTCCCGGCCCGGCCCGCATGGTGGTTCTAATTCAACTTCAAGTTTTATTTTTCAACCTCGCTTTTTGGACCTGCAGTGCATGTTTTTATCTTTTGGCATGCTGAGAGATTTTTTGTTTTGTTAATGGAAAATGTTTTGCAGTTGGTTCAAAGACTCCTGCATATAATGTAATTATCTTAATAAGATGCTGGGTGGTGGGATTTCCAATATAATACATCCTGAAAAATAAGTGCACAGTATGTTTTATTAATTTAATTTAGTGATAAACTTAGCGGTTACTCCTGAGTTTCATTTGTTTGGCACCCTGCAACAATCTGGGTTTCTCATTTTGCCCCCCAGGAAAAATAATTGCCCACCCTGCTAATAATATTAACAACTAAGATGGGAGGTGAGAAGAGTCTGCTCTGATCTGAGCATCTCAAAATGATAAAGACAATGGCGCACCCAGCAATTTGTAATGTAATGTCAATTTGACAAACAAGATATGAAATTTCCAATCGAAAAACACTGTTAAGTTAACCTTACTATAGGTGTGTACAATCGTAGATAAAAAATATAGCTAGATGAACGCACACAAAGGTCTTCAACAACTATATTGATTGCATTAAAGTTAAATCATATTCTGCCATTGATTTGATCATTTATATTGGTGATGTTTTTGAAGACTGAGTTAATCTCTCTTTTTTTCTCCCTCTTTCATACTCCTCTCACTCCTATCTAGGATATTGATTTCCTCGAGTGGAAACATACGGAGCCCTGGAGGGTTCATAGAGAGAAAAATAAATAAAACGTGGCCACGTTTTACTTTCTCGTGCGCACGCTTTAGTAACTCGTGCGCACGAGTTACTAAAGCGTGCGCACGAGTTACTAAAGCGTGCGCACGAGTTACTAAAGCGTGCGCACGAGTTACTAAAGCGTGCGCACGAGTTACTAAAGCGTGCGCACGAGTTAATAAAGCGTGCGCACGAATTACTAAAGCGTGCGCACGAATTACTAAAGCATGGCCTCGTTTTGTGTGTGTGTGTGTGTGGGGGCATTTGTTTATGATAGTATCGTTCGTTCCGGTACACTCCGGCAGGACTATAGCACATCGAGATTAAGATTAAACACATTTCTTTCACTTGGGAATACACTTAACTATGGGGAACCAGATTTGTTTAAAGTACTGTTCGTGGTAATTTGAAAACAAATGCCGGTGGTGTCGGATACACACGAACACGCACACAGAGCGGAGCTGAGCACACACACACACATCATGCGCCCCGTTGACAGGACATCTCCTTCATAAAACAAGGGAGAATACTCTGGTAGTTCGATGTGTGTATAGGTGTGTGTGGTTAAACGTAGCAGCCTCGATCTCTATTCAGCGGTTCTAATGAAGGGAAACGCAGTGAAGTAAACAGTAAAAGGCACAGCTCTTTGCAGCTGGTGCTGCTCTTCTCAGATTCTGCTGAGTTACACGTTACTGCCTCCAGTGCCCTGTACGACGAAGCCAGTTCAACAGACCCTGGACCTGAATATGTTCGATTTACCCGGCTTAACTGACCCTAACAAACGCGATGTCGATAAGCGGTCCTACGAAGCTGGTTATCAACTCAGTAAATCAACCAGGGTTTCTCTGTCCGGCTGAGAGCGCGCTCAGGTGAAAGGGACGGAGTTAGCAACATTTGACCAATCACAAACATGGAGACGCGTTCTGACAGCGCAGCATCATACTTCATGAATGAATAGTGTAAATAGCCAATCCTGCTTCGTAGTACAGGCCACTGGTGCCGCTGAGATTTCATAAAGTGAAGGAGGTTTTCCTTCGATAAAACAGCTGTGGGCAGCAGATACTGTGAGTCAAGGACAGGAATCCCTCAATTTAAATAAAACGAGGCCACGCTTTACGAGTTACTAAAGCGTGCGCACGAGAAAGTAAAACGTGGCCACGTTTTATTTATTTTTCTCTCTATGAACCCTCCAGGGCTCCGTAGAAACATCTATATCTTCAGCCTCAACCCTCTCATCGCTGCTGTTACGGTTGGACATACAGTAGAAACTTTTTGGGGATTTTTGCTTTTTTGGGGATTTCATTTTTCAATGGTGGTGGGGGGGGGAGTTATTGGTTATTTGATGGATGTGGAGATGCAAGGACTGTGGCTATTCATGTACCAGAAGATCTGAACTGCTAAAACATTATAGACTAGATCATCAACATTATGGAAGGCACCATTCTTATCCCTGCCTATATGAAAACTGCCCATTTTCATGTAAAACATGGAATGCACTACTGAAGCATCTTTGTACACAACACCCTTCTCAGCAATCCTCAAGAGCAGATATCTCACATTTTAAGTGCCATCTTTGTGACGAAAATCAACTTACTACTGAAACAGACTTTTTTCACCACATTGGCCAACATTTGAAAAATAATGAATTAGTTCCTTGTATTTATGTTGATTGTTCATATCAAACCAACATATATGGAAGTTTCCACACTCATAAATGGAGAAAACACAAAGTGTGTACAGTTAGAGATTTAAAACCTGGAATAGTTCACAGATCACTCTTCAATCCTTCTGCTTTGGAGTCAGTTAACAGTGACACTGAGTTAAATGAGGATTTACAATTTGAAGAACCAACTTTTGAAGAACCTAGAGATTTGAGAAAAGATGTTGAGCTAAAATTAGCCTCAGTTTTACTGAAATTGGAACATAGCTACCTGGTGTCAAGTGCAGCTGTAAATATACTCCTTGAGGAACTGCAATATCTCATTGGGACTGTGTCTGTGCCGGTCACTCAGGAGACTATCATACAGTTTTTTGTGGATCATAACTGTCGGGTAGATGAATCACTTGTCCAAGAGTTAGCGACAGAACTCTGTACCTCACATCCTATTTAACTTGTTATTGGAAAAGAAGGCCCATTATCTACTGCATGGAGGCGCAACAAATATTATAAAAGTAAGTTCTGTGTAGTGGAACCAGTAGAATATGTAATTGACCGAAAGAACAGAAGGTCTTTTCAATATATTCCTGTACTAAAAACGTTGCAGCAGGTTTTGAATTGTGAGACTATCCTCAGCAATGCAGTTAATTTAAAAGAGAAACTTCAATCAGTGTCAAGTGAGAGGCAGGTATACAGATGTCTCTGGGATGGTGCGAACTTTAAAGAAAACAGTCTTTTATCAAATGAGTGTGCAGTTTCATTAATTCTGTACATAGATGATTTTGAGGTTTGTAATCCCCTTGGGACTTCGCGCAAAATACATAAAATCTGTGCCATATACTGGATTTTAGGCAATCTTCCACCTGGTTCACACTCTTAATTGTCATCAATCTACTTGGCTGCATTGATCAAAAGTGATGATGTAAAGTTGTATGGATACAAGGCAGTTCTTGAACCTTTGATTAATGACATCATTATTTTAGAGCAACATGGAATATTTGTGGCCAAGTTAGGAAAATGTGTAAAAGGAACAGTGCAATGTGTTGTTGCTGACAACCTAGGTGCTCATAGTCTTGCTGGTTTTGTGGAGAGTTTTTCGAGTGCTTATGTTTGTAGGTTTTGTACAGCTCGGAAATTAGATTTTCAAACGAGGGACGTAGGAAGTGGAGCATTCTCTTTGAGGACAGAGGAGGGTCACGCAAGACATCTTAAAACACTTGAGGAAGAATCATTGGCCAATTGTTTTGGTGTTAAGAGGAGGTGTGTTTTGTCGGAAAAACTTGCTCATTTTAATGTCACAACTGGCTTTCCTCCAGACATCGTTCATGATCTATTTGAAGGAATTGTTCCTTGTGAAATAGCTCTTTGTCTCTCTGTGTTCACCTCGAAGAAGTACTTTACTTTGGAATTTTCGAATGACTCTATAAAAACTTTCCCCTTCAAGTGGACAGATAAAACAAACTGTCCCCATCCTGTGCCTCTTACCTATGCAACAAGGAGAACAGTTGGTGGCAATTCTCACGAGAATTGGAGTTTGATCAGGTTTTTGCCGCTCCTCCTGGGACAGAAAGTGCCTGCTGATGAACCTGCCTGGAATCTCCTCACTGACTTGAAGGACATAGTTGACCTTGTTGTCACACCGGTGCACACTGACGAAACGATAGCTTATTTGAATTTCAAAATCTCTGAGCATAGAGTACGGTTTAAGGAGGTTTTCCCAGACTCCAACTTGCTTCCTAAGCATCACTTCTTGGAACACTACCCACAGCTAATCTATCAGTTTGGTCCTCTAGTTTCTTTCTGGACTTTAAGATTTGAAGCCAAGCATAGCTTTTTTAAGAGAGTTGTACGACACACTAGCTGCTTTAAAAACTTGTTGTTGTCCTTGGCAGAGAGACACCAGTTATCCATGGCACACCAGCTCTACTCATGTAGATTTCCTAAGCCTCTACTGGAAGTGAAAAAGTTATCAACTGTTAGCATTGACGTCCTGAAAGATGATATTGCACAGGCTGTCAAACACAAGAACCCAAATGTGAAGGAAGTTTCTTTGGCCGAAAATGTCATCTATAACGGATTTAACTACAGACTTGGAATGATCCTTGCTCGTGGATCAATCAGAGGGATGCCTGCATTCACGGAAATCATCCAGATGGTGGTTCTCAAAAAGGAATTGGTCTTCATTGTTTGGAAACTAAGCTATTGGTACATGGAACACTACAGAGCCTATCAACTCGAAATCTCGCCTTCAAAGGAGATTGAAGTTTTTGAGGCATCTCAACTGACCGATCCTTACCCCCTGGCAGACTACACAGTTGGGGCCATGCGGCTTATTACACTCAAGCGATATATTCAAGGTTAAGGTTAGCATAAAGTAATATCTGTTTGGGGTGGGTCAGAAGCAAAGTGGATGTGATGAATTATGCAGGTTAATTTTGTTTTCATTGTAATTAACATGAATGAACATATCATTTAAATTCAACAAAGCTAATGTTGCACGTAAAACTATTTGTTCATAGCACACAATCATTAGTCAACCATGAACAAAGCACATCTCTAATATCTCTTTCTCTCTCTCCAAACCCCACCCTGCTTTCTTTCCCTCCCACTCAGAGGATCTCCAAACATGGCGGGCGTCACTCGGCTCCTGGTGATTTTAGAAGAGGACAGTCGCATCAAGCTGGAGCTTCCTAATGGCATCCCCTCCTCGGTTGACGAAGTCATCCAAGAAATAACGAATTCCTGTGGTCTAACTAATGAAATACGGCTTCAATACAATGACCCTGATTTCGGCACTTGGGTTAACTTAACTTCAACTTCAGAACTCAAGGATCTTGCCACTTTGAAAGTTATTAATGTAGTACCCAGTGTGACTTTATTCTTAGAGCCAGTGGAATACTCTGTGGATAAGGCTAATTTTCAACGCCAAGATGATTCCAGTATGTCTTCATCTGCATGCTCGGGTGACACATTACCCGTAAGCAGCCCTTCTTCGGACACCTACAGAAAGGAGCAGTGGCCCAAGGTGTTCCTCATCCCTACTTTCTCTCATTCAACAGAAACACAACTTAGGGATGGAAATGCAGAGTACCAGAGAAGCCAGGTTAGACTCACTCCCAGCTCTAAAATGCTTTCCAACATACTGGAAACGCTCGCTGACAAAGTCTATTCATACAAATCCTATCCTAGCGATGCAGACTTCAGTGAAGTGGCAGAGGCACTCACACAGACACACCCCTGTCTGAAAGAACCTGGGTCCTTCAACCACAGTTACGGATGGAAACAGAGACTCAAGACGAAGATGTACAACTATCGCACATACCTGAAATCACACAGTTCATCATCTGACGAGCTGACTGTGAATACTCTGAAAAGAAAGTTGCTGACGGATGCCCACCCAGCAAAGAACATAAAGAAACCTAGGCGAGCTGAGTCTAACCATTACCCATCTCTGCCTTTCAACGAGACACCAGAGTCCATGGAGCAAGAGAGAGTGGCCCTCTTGTCTGAGGTAAAGAAAAGGAACAATGTCCAAACAATAAGACAGAAGATGGCTCGGACGTTCGCATTTCGGAGGCAAGAAATTGTCGACAAGAAAACATCTTTGCACGAAATGATCGAGAGATGGCCAGCACTCTTCGAAGTTCAAGAGGTACACTAACTTTACTCATAGTATGTATGTATATGTGTGTGTAATCAAATGTACGTAAAGCTAAATCACATGCTTTTGCATGAGGCACATATCCTTTGTCTGTTTTTGATATATATACCTATACTACCTATATTCCCTAGGTGAATGAAGAATTCATCAGAGTAACCACAATACCCCTTGAAGCAAGGTTCATGCAGAAACTTGACGAGAAGTGCAGTGAACTAATTCAAGTCGTCAGAAAGAAGGGTGGAGCTATCCGGGAGAAGACAAAGCTCCTGCCATTTGTGGAAACGGTATGTACAGATGTTTTTTACTTTACTGCTCACTTACATATATGCCTCAATAACAATAGATATATCTTTCAATACATAATCAATTATTTATAGCATTGGTCACTGATCCGACACAGCAACCTTTTAGCCAGAGGTTTCATAGACTTGGCACATTCATTCTTCATGTTCATCTACATGTTTAGACATTCATTTTGGCGTAATGGGAATTCTTGGCTGTTTTTTCATGGCCTTAATATGGTTGACACACTAATTGACTGATATTGTAATCATTATTTTATCGACTGATATGAAAGTGTCCAGCCCTACCTTCACGCCAAACTATGCTCTTTTTTCATGTCTCTACTGTCTAAATGCATCCTTACTCATTTATCACCTAAAGCTCATTCCCATGCATTCATTCCTTCATACACTAGCTCTCATTCCCATGCATTCATTCCTTCATACACTAGCTCTCAATCCCACATTAAGAAACCGTGGCACACTCGCACTGATTGAATGGACGAACTGAACAATTAACATTAATTATTGTGACTGTCTTCATGCAGGATACTGACACCACTACAAAGAGGGAGATTGCTCTCAAATGTCTCATCCTCAACATGGGAGAATCGGTGGAGGACCTGATCAAAGAATTCCTGGTGAGGCAAGATTATTGTTGAGGTGTTAAAATTCTAGCTAAGGCTGTCCATTTTATATGATGTGTGTTACATTTTACATAACATTTTAGTTATTTAGCAGGTGCTCTTATCCAGAGTGACTAACAACAAGTGTAATAGGAGTACAAGTCAAATTCAAATGTCACCAACACAGCGAGTAACCAATAGGCAGTCCTAGTAGTGTTTAAAGACGTGCTCCGACAACACTTCCTCACTCCCAGGTCGGCCTATGTTGACGTTATGTCAAGTCCCCTGCCGGCTTTTTCCAACGCAAGGGGGGGGGCCCTTAGCGTCCATTTTCAACTTTCCGGGATGTCCATATGCTTCTATGGACGCTCATGGAAGCACGGCATTCGTTTGTGTCGACTGCCCTTAAAGGCAATGAGAGCGTCCATTCTCATTGGATAACGGAGAATTGTACACACGGAAGTAAGTATTCCCCTTACTGACGATTGATTTTACAGTGATATCTGCACTACTCGTCGACTAAAAAACACCAGATTATCCTTGTTAATTACACAACATTGATTGGTTTAAATTGTGTGCAATGCTTTTGTATTTTTCCCCTTCGATTCGGAGAAACAAATCTTTTTTCGGAGTAAAGGATGGCAGAAGACACTACACTACCCAGAATCCCAAGCTATCGTTTGGACCCACGCCATATGCTCTGTTTGACAAACTCTGTGATAGTCCTCAAGCTCTGTGATTGTAGAGTGTGCTCCGAGGGTTACCGAGCCTCGAACAGCACTTGAAATGGGATGGAACCACGGCAGACTGTTCAAAACTGGATTTGAACGGGTCCACCGCGTCCCCCCCCTCCCCCACCCCGTCCCCAGAACTACACATGCTGGCTATTCTGTTTCTCAACATGTTCTCTATATGGCACGTCTCTACTGGGAGTTGTAGTTTTAAAAGACGTTTTCGTATTTCCCATAATAAGAAGTTGCCAGTATTAAACTTAAGCTGATCGATGGCTACTGCCATATTTGCAAAATTTGCCTCTGAACCTTGACAAGTGCATGTTTCAGGCTTATCAATTAATGTAATGTAATGTAATGTTATCAATGAACAAGAGGAGGGGTCACAAACATAAGACCAGCTGTTAAATAAAGCTCTTCTGACCTTAGCTGGCATGTGTGTATATTAATGCTGCCCATTATGGGCACGAGCAATTTTCACCCATTTATTAATTATATGTTAAATGTGAGTGTTTGCTATCCCCTAAATCTCCAGGGATGTACACAGTTTAATACTGGCAACTTCTTATTATGGGAAATACGAAAACGTCTTTTAAAACTACAACTCCCAGTAGAGACGTGCCATATAGAGAACATGTTGAGAAACAGAATAGCCAGCATGTGTAGTTCTGGGGACGGAGTGGGGGACGCGGTGGACCCGTTCAAATCCAGTTTTGAACAGTCTGCCGTGGTTCCATCCCATTTCAAGTGCTGTTCGAGGCTTGGTAACCCTCGGAGCACACTCTCCAATCACAGAGCTTGACTATCACGGGGTTTGTCAAACAGAGCACATGGCGTGGGTTCAAACGATAGCTGGGGATTCTGGGTAGTGTAGTGTCTTCTGCCATCCTTTACTCCGAAAAAAGATTTGTTTCTCCGAATCGAAGGGGAAAAATACAAAAGCATTGCACACAATTTAAACCAATCAATGTTGTGTAATTAACAAGGATAATCTGGTGTTTTTTAGTCGACGAGTAGTGCAGATATCACTGTAAAATAAATCGTCAGTAAGGGGAATACTTACTTCCGGGTGTACAATTCTCCGTTATCCAATGAGAATGGACGCTCTCATTGCCTTTAAGGGCAGTCGACACAAACGAATGCCGTGCTTCCATGAGCGTCCATAGAAGCATATGGACATCCCGGAAAGTTGAAAATGGAAGCTAAGGGCCCCCCCTTGCGTTGGAAAAAGCCGACAGGGGACTTGACATAACGTCAACATAGGCCGACCTGGGAGTGAGGATGTGTTGGCTCAGACAATAGCTACAGACAAGAGCCAAAGCTATGCATCACGATACAATTCCTTCTTACAGACAATTATGGCCTTCCAGGACGTCCACGATATGTCTTAACAGTTAGGCTATTCATCTGGGGGGAAACCCGAGCTATATTGATTTCAGATTCTTTTTTCCTAAATTATTTTCCAGGTGTCGGAGAAGGATGAGGCTGGACAAATTCTTCAGCGGGAAACCATCGCAATCTTCGTCATCAGAGATGCACAAGCCGCAACCGAAGACATTGGCATCATTCTTGAGGGACAAGAGGTTGTGAATAAGTTGGCGTCTGTTGCAAATGCTGTCGCCATTCTCCTGGACTTCCTTTATGCTCTCAATCTGGAATATCTCAAGACATTAAAATTGACATTTGAATATATCCAGAAAGTCTTCATGGAGCTGGACCCGAAAGGCATGGCCACCAAGGTCAAGAAGCTCTATGACCAGCTCTACAACAGAGCTTAGTTCAGGTTTCCTACACGTCCAAGTTTTCCAGTAATGGAAAATGATAAAGACAATAACAAGTCACAGAAAACGTATGTGACTGTCCTGGAGAATGAAAAGGTTACACACCTGTTGTGTGACTAGTTATGGTTCGTCATTCTGAAGTTCAACTGTTTGAAAATATAAAAACTGTCATAGCAATTACCCTGTGGCACTGATGGGCTCTGCTCTGGCTGGTAGAGTACGCAAGTTGCGTACGCATTTGGTTTCAAAGGTCAATATGTTTGGCTGCCAGCTCTTCAAAGTTCCAATCTGACCCTTGAGAAACTTGACTGTTTTCTGGCAAGAATTATTTTTCATTTTTATGCCTTTAGGCATACAACTGCGGTGCAGTTTTTCTATGTATTTTAAATTGTTACATTTTATTTGAACAATGCAGATACCCTGTAAATATGTTTGTTTTATAAGTAATAAACCTGTTATTAAATATCACAATGTGTAATGAGAATTATTGATGTAATCTATATATTTTTGGATTAGATTAAATGAGAAAATTATAGTTTAACAAAATGTATACATTTTTTATTGGATAAAACAAATAATATTTAGTTAATTTTAACGAGAAAAAACTGTTTGATAAAATCTATATTTGTTTGTTTGGATTAAATATAGAATTTAAATTAATTGACTTCCTTCAACAAGAAAATATACTTTGTGCCAAGTCTTATATAATAGTTTCCATGGACATAAGAAATATTGTTTGAGGCAAGTTATTTATTTTTCATTGGCTCAAGCTATAGAGTATAGATGTGAACCATTACCCTACATTTTTTAAATTGGTTGAACGAAATACTTTTATCAGTGTGCTGGATGTGGAGGTCCTGGGCTGGTGTGGTTACACGTGGTCTGCGGTTGTGAGGCCGGTTGGATGTACTGCCAAATTCTCTGAAACGCCTTTGGAGACGGCTTATGGTAGAGAAATTAACATTCAATTCACGGGCAACAGCTCTGGTGGACATTCCTGCTGTCAGCATGCCAATTGCATGCTCCCTCAAAACTTGCGACATTGTGCTGTGTGATAAAACTGAACATTTTTAGAGTGGCCTTTTATTGTGGCCAGCCTAAGGCACACCTGTGCAATAATCATGCTGTCTAATCAGCATCTTGATATGCTACACCTGTGAGGTGGGATGGATTATCTCGGCAAAGGAGAAGTGCTCACTATCACAGATGTTTTCAGATTTGTGAACAATATTTGAGAGAAATGGTTATTTTGTGTATATAGAAAATGTTTTAGATCTTTGAGTTCATCTCATGAAAAATGGGAGCAAAAACAAAAGTGTTGCATTTATATTTTTGTTAACGTGGGAGAACATATGTTTCTAGAAGATATGTAGAAAATAAACGTATTTGAGATACGTTCATAACAAACGTAACGTGGGAGAAAATACCTTTCTAGCTAAACGTAATTGAGAATGCAGTTTAGTTCTATGGGAATGTAATCTTTAGGAGACAGGGTTGCAGGGTATTACTCAAAAAGTACTTGAATGCACTTGTGGTAGTAGTCCAAGTAGTATTGAGTCCAACAGTACCACTTTCACTGAGAACTTATTGCAAGAAATCATTTTATCTCTCATCAAAGATGGCAGAAAACATGCATTATTGTACTCTGGAGGGGAGTTTGACAGGGGATTACTCAAAAAGTACACAGTAAAGTACTTGATTGTACTTGTGGTAGTAGTCCAAGTAGTACTCTGTCCAGCAGTACCACTTGACATTCATTGAGAACTTATAGCAAAAAATCATTTTATCCCTCATCAAATATAGCAAAAGTGGCATGATTTTGTTCTCAGGAGTGGAATTTGAGAGTATTACCCAGAAAAAAGACAGTAAAAGTAAATTGTATTGTTGGTAGTAGTCTAACAAGTACTGAGTCCAACAGTACCAATTTGATTAAGAACTTATGGTAAAACATATTTTTATCGAAAAATATAGCACAAAAACATGCATTATTTTATTCTTGTACTAGCGTCAGTGCCGCTTCTCGGCGATTACCGTAAAGACGCTATTAATCGCGCACTCAAAAATGAAGAGCTGCTCATTTGACCAAGCAAATTTGAGAGACGGCTGAGTTGTCAATAAGATGTGTGTATTACAATTATGAATGTCATATTTCAAGATGATTACTTAGATATTACAATATGGTTGGTTGAACTGGAGTTCATTATTGAGCTTACATGTTAACGTCACAGTCATCTGAAGAACGAACCCAAACCTTTTTTTTTTTATTAATTGCATTACCAAATGGGTATCAAATAAACAGTAAGCATTGGTAACACAACTTCCAAAGTTACAGTAAAAATAAAAAGGACCCTGACTCGGACAATACACAATCCAACATGTTCAACAGAAGAGAATCAGTTATATTGTTTGTACACATTGGTACACGTTGGTACTTTACATATATATCTGTTTGTTTAAGGTGTCCAGGTGATGCAGACAGGCTGGACCAGAGAGTGAGAGACAGAACTGGACTCCTCACAGCAGTGAACTTCAGCTCAGGTACAAAGACTCTTTTTTTCATACTGTACAAAGAATCAAGAAAGATATTGGTTTAAATCAGGGGTGCCCAACCTTTTTTTAACCGAGATCTACTTTTAAAGTTGCCAGTCTGCCGAGATCTACCAGTCCAAATAGAGAGACATAGCCATTACTGACAGCCTACTACCAGGTAAATACACACTTCTACTTGTATAAAACTGACCTTCGTACGATTAATACTTCATAAAATAATGCCTTTATCTTACCTCTTTCTAATCTACACACATACAAGTATTTAACTGAAGTTACACAACAGTGTTGTTGATACAGAGTTGGAGTTTATTCACACGTCACTACAGTGGGTAATGTTTTCAAGAAACATTGAACAGTGCTGCCACAGGGAAAAAAGAAAAGACTCTGAACCCTTTATTTGCCATTATATAAAAATAGTGTTGCTACAAAAGTATAAATTAGGCTTACTAATAAGACAACTCAGATCTGAAGCTACACAGGAATCTGCTGCCAAAGTGCAATAAATAAGACAAAATTAATAGAATCAATTATAGATTATAAAAAGAAATGCCTTTAATAGGATGCAAGCAACACTAGTTTTTTAACCTGAATTGATAATGGACTATAATCAATTTAAGTTTGCATTCTTATACCATTTTGTATAATAATTATAATGAATAAGTTCAAACAAACTAAAACTTACAGCTGATTAATAACGGTATCCAACTTGAGTTTTTATTATATCAAAAACCTGTTGAAATGCTACCGTTTTTTACTGTCCCCCAAAAGCGCATCGGCAGCCTCCATGAATGCTTCTTTCACAACTTCGCAGTCTTTGAAAGACTTCATGTGTTTCGCAAGAACGTGACTGACACGTTAAGATGCTATGCCTATGGTAGCAGCCTGGCTCAGCTCTTGTTGTTGGGCCTGGCGAAAATGGACTGCTGTGCATTTAGCTGTCCTTTCAGGCCCCTCCCCTTTTGGGAGCGTAATTAGGAGGGAATTTCGTCTCGTAGCCTTTGTGCACTGTTTTAAAATGCCGCTCCTAAATTACTCTTCTTCGATAAAGCTACGCTCGCATTGCAGATGAGACAGATGGACTTTGAATTGGAATAAATACAAAAATAATCATCCTCCCACTCGGAGTGAAAATTATATATGTTTTGCTTCTGCCATAATTGCGGTCTTGTTTGTGTGTGGACTGTCACTCCTGTTGATACGGACAACGTTAGCGAATTAGTGCACTGCCCACTAGCCACGCCCCGACACATGGGGTCACGGCGGCCAATCACAAAGCTTTGATGCGTTCAAGTGCATTATTCTGGCACAGGAAGATTATGTTACAGGACATTAACGATAAAAAAGAATATTGTTGTTCTATTTTTAGACACATCTCGCGATCGACTGGTTGGGCACCCCTGGTTTAAATGAATGAAGTATTGACTTGAATACACTGATATACATTCCATTAAACAATACTAAATACTAGATCACCTACACATCAGTTAAGTTGAGGGTTTTTTCCATGCAAAAAGTTACATTTAGATGTTAACAAGCAATATGACTTTGTCAGCTTTCTAATTTAATTTATTGAAGGCAAAGATATTAACACATAGTGAGAACTGCTACTATTTATCTCTCAATATTGTCTGTAAAAAACGTGGTAAAAGTTATTCTTTCAGTGAGACAACAGAGCAAGCTTCTACAGTTGCACTACGTTTTGATAACAGTTACATATTATTTTGAAAATAAAATATATTTCAATGTTGATGAACTTCATTCTGTTCATTCATAATCTGATTGTCTTTATAGCTCACTGTTGAAATACATAAAAAACATTACAATTACAAACATAATTATATCTACAGCTCCTAAACACACCGCTTTCATAAATAACACACTTGTTCTGCAATAATATGTTTTATGTTTCCTGTAATTTTTGTTAGGAAAGGACATGCCTGAAAGACACGATATTTTCTCCTTCTCTGAGGGTCAAGAAGAACATCCAAGAACTGCCCGATTACTCCCCCTTTTATTAGTTTTATGAAGGAGATGTCCAGTCACCAAGGCGCATGATGTGTGTGTGTGTATGTGCTCTGCTCTGCTCAGCTCAGTTCTGTGTGTTTGTGTCTGTCCGACACCGGCATTTGTTTTCAAATGACCATGAACAGTAATTTACACACATCTGGCTAACTCCATAGGTAGCCTATATGCTGGTGTTCCCAAAATAAATTAGTTTAATCTTAATCTCGATGTAGTGCTAAATGCTGTCGGACGACACACACGCACCCACGCACGCACACACGCGCACACACACACACACACACACACACACACACACACACACACACACACACACACACACACACACACACACACACACACCTCCACCTCCTTCATAATGCGCCTTCTCCTCGTTTTCCCAGCATTCACTGGATTATCCGTAAATCATACAAACAAAACCAAAA